ATTGTTGACAAAATGAATCAAACCCATATTTATTTCTACGTTATCAAATTCGCGATTTTAATTGGTCAATCAACAAAATTGCATGGGTTAAAATTTTGTATTCCCTCCTGTTAATTTTTGTGTTCCCAGTATGTTCTCTCCTGTTAGAACTATACGCACTATACGTATCACTATACATATAGTATTATACGTATAGTACTGATCTGCCCATCTCTAGGTCTGACCCATCAAAAAGTACCAAAAAATATATATATTATACTTAAATTAACTCTCTAACTCCTAAATATCATCAAAATCAATAATAACAATCTATGGTCCAATGGTCCAAGGACAAAATTATAACATTATAATATACCTATACCTATATATATATAATATCTGAAAAGATCCTTGGACCATTGGACCAACTTTTTTATACCAGGAAAGTATTAATCCATATCTAGAACACCAAATTCAATAATTATATCAAAAATTCGTTAATAAGACCAAACCCTTGGACAATTGGACCAATTTCCTCTATATTTCCCACATAAAAAAACAATACATGTTACACAAAAAAATAATTTGAAAAATGCTTTAATCAGCTGCCATACTCCCCTAATACTAAGAATTCTGATTATTTAGAATATTCTTAGCGAGTTTTACAGCTTTCTTATGCTCTTTGGCCTTTTCCTTTTTTCCCTTAGCAATAGCTTCTTCAGCAGGAGTCTTTAATTTAATCAATCCATCCTTAGATACAAAAGTATGTTTATTAGTACCGCAAACAATACATTTGCCAATTAATTTTTTCCTACCACTTTTGGCAGTTTCCAATTTCTCAGATGTGGAATTTGTTTTGGCACAGCACTTAACACAATAAGTTTGAGCCATCTTTTAAACTTACGATATATTATTTTCAAATAGACATAAAAATGTCATCACCAATAGATCATTACTATAAATACTATTCATTATCTGGCATATCTCCTAAGTTACTAAAGAATGAAGAACATTTCAATCTCCATATCAGGCCTAAAAAAGTAAAAAGATCAGAACAACCAAAAGTAGTTGTATGGAAAGCTAATGCTATACAAGATTCTGATTTACAGCAATATCCAATGGACCCAGAAGGCTATATATATATTCTCATATAGTTGTTGATGTCTCAACCTGAAATTTGGATGGAAATCCACTCAAAAGTAAAGATGCTGTAACAGTTTTAGAATCCTTCAAAAAGATATATCAACAAGGTATTGTAAAACCTCCTACTTTCAGATTAAATACTGATAATGGGACAGAGTTTAAAAATTATTTAGTACAAGATTTTTTTATAAATGATGTTGGCATATTAATGAAGTTTGGATTTCCTGGAAAACATCAACAACAGTGTTTTGCTGAAAAAGCCAATCAAGCTCTTATGGAACCTCTTACAGAACGAATGACTGCACAGGAAATGAAAACAGGAATAACTTCTGTAGAATGGTCCAAAGATTATCCAATTGTGCTAGAGGCCCTTAGAAAGAAATGGAAACATGATCCTCTTCCTATTCCAGAAGGACCTCCTAAAATATCAGAAAAAGACAAATTATTGCTGGAGGGTACTCAAGTTCAAGTTATGCTATTTGAGCCTATGTCTGTTCTTGGTCAAAAACTGCATGGCAAATTCCATACAGGAGACATTAGATGGGATCCAAAAATTCGAATTATTAAGAAACTTATGCTTACTCCTGGGCAGCCCCCTACATACCTTGTAGATGGTCCTCAGGGCAAGTTAGGCATATCTTGTTGTGCTTATATTAGAAAACAACTCCAAGTGGTTCTGGATAATGAGAACCGTCATCCAGATTCAGTTATTCGTGGCAATCCAGATAATTTCATTCCTGAAAAAATACTTAGGCAAAGAACTTATAAAGGTAAAAAACAATATCTTGTTAAATGGCAACATTATCCTGAGAATGAATCAACTTGGGAACCAGCAAATAGATTTAAGAGGATGCGCCTAATCTTGTAAATGAATTCCTGGGAGCTAATAGAGCATAACAAAAAAATAATATTTTTCCTTTATCTTATTTTTTATTCTAATGCCTGCAAGACTAAAGATTTATGACTTTTATTTTTTTGTCTATTTTCATCAGGAATGAATGGGATAAAGAAGTCCTTTCCATCATAGGTAAATGCTACATGTTTTCTATATTCAAGTAAATCATAATTATACCGCCTAAGGCAAGTTCAGCTCAAAGGTACTTCTCAGTAAGGATAATCTGCAATAACTGCAAAATCTTCATATATATTGCATCCAGGAGCTACAGTTATGCAAATATTTTTTATCATCCCTATTGATCTATTTTTTGTTGATGCCCCAATAAGCCTATGGATTTTACTTGTATCAAGAGTCAATTCCGGATTTTTGCTATGGTTGGCTCAGTCTAAAGACCTCCTATTGCTGCGCCATGCGACCAATTTCAAAAATAGCAATTTTGTAATTCGTTCAAAAATGTAATAAAATTTTTCAGAAAATAGGACTTCACGTGATTTTAGTTTTCTTACTGCCAAATTTAGATACGATAGTCAAGAACTAGTCTAAATTTGGTAATATTTTCCTAAATTTAGAAATGATCATAGCGGACAAATTCCTCGCGAGCATAGTAAAGTACATGTTTTAAAAAAGAATAGAACTCCATGACAAATAATTTTTTGCGAAAATCTCTATTACATTAAAACTAAAGACAACCAATAGAGCTATTTTTTTAAAAGGTAGGACAGAAAGTGACTTCTATATTTTTAAAATTTGCCCAAAATTTAGGAGGTCTTTAGACCAAGCCAACTATAATAAGTTCTTTACAAATTTCCTCAGGCATCCAAGAGATGTTAGAACATGAATTGACAATGATCCTCCCTCTATCTGTCCCTCTATAGCAGTTAAATCTTTGGCATTTTCAATCCTTACAAGATCAATATCCATAGAATTATTGAAAATTTGTGGCATTATGAATTCACTAGGCTTAGAAGTTTCTTTTGACAGAGATGGTGTATAAGAGCCTTCACTTTGCAATAACCCCAAACAAGTCAATTCTTCTATAATTAATTTGTGAATAATTTTAATCGAATTTTTATCAATTGATAGTCCTTTATTTTCCTTACAAGAATTAGATTCTTTCCCACCCTTAGTCTTAGTAGAAGGCTAGTTTTCCATTACTTTTTTTTTCGAACAAATCGGAGAGTATATTCATCATCATCAGTTGCAATTTCATGTATCAAATTAGAAGTATCTATAGGACCAGGAACAGGATTGTTAATATTTAGAGTATTAATTCCACCAGAAATACTAGCAATTTCCTTATCAAGTCTCCTTTGCTCAAGTCTTTCAGCAATTCTATTCACTATTCTATTAATATTGGATTTGTAATTTAAGTCCATTTCATCTAATGAAGCTTTATAATTATCAAGAAGTTTGTGTATTTTTTCTGCCTTAGTAATTTCAGGAGAATCAACTATTTTATTGCTTGAAGTTGCAGACTTATTAAGAATTTCATCAGTAGTATTTTTTGCAGATTCTCAGGCTATTTGCAAATCATCATTTTTTGATATGGTGCTGTTGGAATTTTTGCAAAATCCAGAAGGACTTGGTTTATATGATTCTGACAATTGATATGTAGGTTGTATTTGAGCTTGATGGTCAGTAGCTCCAGTTCTCTTTGATACACCCAATCTCATTTCAGATTTTTGTTAGTGGTTGTATCTGTTGATTATCTGGGTGTTTGAGCAATTAGTCAATCAATAAAACTCAACATTTGGATAATTGGTCAGTCAATAGAATTCAACACCCAGATAATTGGTTATTCACTGAATATTCACTGAATATCTGTTAAATATTAAATTTATTTAAAAAAAAATTTTTTTATTCATCAGGAAAATAGTGTAAACTTGGATAAATCTTACGATGCCGACGTAAGTTTTACACTTTTTTATTATTAAACTTACAATTGACACATGTAAAATTTTTTTATATTTTCCGGATGTACAACTCTTTCAAATAATAATGGGTTCAATTTTGTTCATTTGGCTGTCATTAAAGAATGTAATAGTGATAAAATTAATTACGTGGATATTCTGTACCACTGATTATTCACCAATTATTTGGTGGAAATTTTCAACACCTGATTAATTAATCAATGAAAAATTTTCAATACCCAATTAACTGGATAATTGGTGAATAATTGGTGAATACCATTCAGCAGATACAACTGCTGATTTTCATTTTTCAACTCTCTAAATTTTTAAATAATTCACTTACAGCTTTTTCAGAACCAATTCGTTCTACTTCAACCTGATTGTCTGGTGATAGCCCCCTAAAGAATTGATGGTTGATTACTTCATCACTGAAATTTAGTAAATTACTGTATTTTTTTACTTTTTCATAGAAAGTTTTAACTGGATCATTACCTTGATCAAGATTACCAAATTGTACTTTGTGTCTTTCTTCTAATACTGTAGGATATTGATTTTTAAGATAAAAAATAGCTTGGCCAAGATGAATTCCAGGTAATATTATAGGAACAGTGCCATTATTTCAGCCAATCTAGGTGGCTCATCTGTAGGTTCTCCACCAGTATTAGTCCAATCTTCTTCAAAAGCTTGATGTGGCACCATTTTAGCTAGTATATATCTGCATTATTTACAGGATGATTTGCAAAAACAAATCCTGAAGAATGTGGTCTAAAACTATTAGTACCATTCATTTGCACCATAGTCAAATTTTGAAGAGCATTTCTAGTATTTACAGCAGTATTGTCATATATATTAGTTAGTGTTCCATGTCACGATCCAAAAAAGGAAACCAAAGTGGTCACAACCAGGTGTCACAAACCATTTTTATATGTCGCAAATATGGTTGCAACCATCACCAAGAATTGTGACCAGCATCTATAATATTAGTTAACATCCAATTTTTTCCAAGTATTTTTTCATCATACCAATCACCAGCATCATTAGTCAAACAGCTTCTTAGTATACCTAAAGCTCGAACTCTATCTGCTTTAACTGCTATGTTAATATTAATACCTGCTAGAAATCCTTGGAATCTTCTGGTAAAAGTATTAACATCATCATCATCCATGCTCCCAGAGAATTCAGGCAGTTCTGGCCATACTGTTATAATAAGGATATGAAGGCTTCAATTTGGCATGTTTATAAACCAAATAATGTCAAGATTAGTATTTCTATTTCTGGCTCTTTGTTTCCATTTGTTATATTTCAGTTGCATTCTATTTAACCACCCAATATCAGTAATATGAGTCTGGATTCAAGCATTATGGGCATGGACCTGGATAGCATTGGCATTAATGAGATTATTGTGCTTTGCAACAAGTTCGTTATGAATCTGGATAAGATCATTATGGGTCTGGTTAAGTATACCCCCATCATGGACAACCTTAGTATAATCCTAATGAAGACAAGCTAGATTATTCTGGAACAGTATAAGTTGATTATTAGACTGACCAAATGCCTGAAGATTTTGCTGGACTTGGACCTGAAGTGGTGCCAATTAATCATTCTCACATTTAGCAATATCTCAGAGTCTATGAGCAAATATAGTGATTTCATTAAGCTTATTCACCGCAGTCCTCTGGTTTAGAGTAGAATTATTCAGCCTTTGTATGAACTCATCAAGACTTCTGCATGCGGTATTAATACTATCATTACTTACATCAATTTCATTTGGGTTGGCAGTTGTATTTGGCGTGTAGAAGACATTTTGGCTTCTTATTATATGTTGAAATTTTACCTTCTAATGCTATAAATTGATCCTCTCTAAAGAGCATAGTGGAAGTTTGTTGTTACACGAAATGTTGTACAGAACTCATTGCTTCTGAAACTTCGCCAGTGTATAG